CCTTTTCATCAATTTTCACCCCTTTCTTCTGCAGATTCAGTCGCCGGCTTATGAGAGTTATATGTATTGTCCAATTCTCTACACGTGTTTATATTTTTACAGTCATATCAGTTATTGAAATATTATTTGTCTATTTTTTATTTTTGGGACTGCAACAGCACGTGCATAGATATGTTTTGCAGGAAGCTGCAGTCAGTATAAATTGGTGCATGCTTATCTATTATTGGGAGTTTTTTTGATAAAGTTGACTGCAGTCCACAATATTAACATTGGTTAGTTCGAATTGAATATTATTTTGAACAAGATCATCGTCACTTCAAGTATTGTAATTAAATAAAATCTACATAGTTCCACCCAAGTGAGAAAAAAGTGGGTTCGCACTTTGAATGATGCCACTTAAAATCTCGTGGTAGTAATTCATAATCTAAAAAAGCCTTGCGATTACTTCAAGTTTCTTGGTGGAGAAAAGTCAAAATAGTGTCAAATCATCATCATGTCATATCTAGATAATTAAACACAAAATAAAAGCAACTAGACAGCCAGATTTTTATGTATCGACCTCTTTTCCGCCTCAATTATATTTGTACGAAATAATCAGTTATTAAACCGGACTTAACTGCAGTCCGTCCAAGTAGTCCTTAAACTCCAAACCAATTAAAGAGCTTACAATCAGAGGTTTCTCCGTTCGTTAACTTCCAGAATCATAGCTTTTGAAAACATGCCATTTAAACTTTTTTGTTGCATTTATCTTTTAATGATTGCACTGTACTCCCCAAATAAAATAATTTTAATGTAGCAATGGATTTTAAAATGTGTATTTTGCATGTAATTTTATACCCTCGAATAAATCGTATTTTTCGAATAGATTTTGTTCAAAATGCAAACAAAAATATTTAAAATGCTGAAACGCGTACGACATTGTACATCGTTTTTGCCAACGATATGAATAAATTTGAAATTAAATAAATAACACTGAATTATTTTCGCTGTTTATTGTAGATACAATTTTCTAGCTTCGAAACTATTCTTGAAATTGGATATTGATGTATTTAACGAACCATAACGACGGAAATGGTGATATCAATGTTAATACGATATCAATCAATCAATCAATCAATGTTAAGAGGTGTGTTCAATAAGTTAGGTGACCTTTGTAATTGGGCGGGCTACATACGTTTAATATTCCATTTTTTTATTATGTTGGTACACATGCCTAACATACGCTCACAGTTTCATCCAGTTTGCAAGTTTACGATTTTTTTTTGTGAGAAAGAAGAAAGTGTTTTGTGTACTCGGCGATTGTCTGCCCCCAAAGAAAATGTAACCAAGGATTTGCATATTGCCAAAGATGAAATACAGTGCTGCAAAATACTTGAAAAGTTGACAACGGCATATGGTGAATATACTTTGAGGGGAAAAATGTTTGTAAGTGATACAAGCTGTTCCAAAATGGCCGAGAAGACGCCGATGACGAACCTCGCTCTGGACATCAATAGCTGATGAAAGCGCTGAAAAAGCGAAACAAATGGTGTTTAAAAATGGTCGAATCACTATTAGAGAAGTAGCTGAAGACGTTGGCGTCTCTATTGGCTCTTGCCATGCATTTTTTTCTGAAGTTATCGGCATGAAACGTGTAGCAGCAAAATTTCTTCCGAAACTGCGTAATTTTGAATAAAAGAATCGTCAAGACCGAAAAAAGCACGTCAACTTCCATCAAATGTCAAGGTTTTGCTTACCGTTGTCTTTGATTATCGTTCCGTAGTACATCAAGAATTCTTACCAGAAGATTGTACTGTGAAATGTAATGAGCAGTTTGCGACGAACAATACGAAGAAAACGTTCGGAATTGTGGAAACACAATTCATGGATTTTGCTCGAAAACAAAATCAGAACCGTGCATCAGCCACCATATTCACCGGATATCGTCCCTGCGACTTTTTCTTGTTCCCAAAACTCAAGAAACTCGTGGGAGAGGAAGGAGGTTTTGAACGATTGAGGAGATAAAGAAAAAATCTCTGGGAGAACTCAAGGGCTCTACCGGAAAGTGCTTTTTGAACACACCTCGTAGAATGTGATGTTTGCCGCTTCCCGTGGAACAGCGCGACATAGAGCCGTTGAAGTAGAAACTTTAAACACAGTAAATGCGACAACAATCGCATGTTCTGTATATTGCGGCGAATATTTAGCAAATCACCAAGAGATCTTCAGGACAACGCAGAATGAATTCCTCAAAATTTTTTGAAATCTACAAATTAGAGAAGCTAAATAACATATCTACCTACTTATTGTCTTACTTTTTACATCCTTTTACACCGATTGTCACATTGTCAACTCTAACAAAAATACTTTGAAGGTATGATGGCATACCATACGTCCTAGATTTAAAAACGGCGAAGGCGCCAGAATTTGACTATTTCATAAGAACCAGTAAAAAAATAATAAAAATTAAAACAGTATTGATATTTTTTCCCAGTCAACATATTCGTATCTCCTATATCTTCCTAACTTATATGTTCATAATTACTAACTCTCCGGATTCCTACAAACAATATCCATTCAGCCAGTAGCCAGGTTATTTGAATATTTCCCTTCAGTGTTCTTTTGTGTGTGAATGATAATATTTTTGCGTAATCTCATTTTGATGAACTATCTGCAGCGAGGGACTCGGTTTTTCGAATATTAAGAAGTAATATGAAATGAATCTTGTTTCTGCGGTCACAATCATCAAAGAATTCAATTTTGCCAGTGCCGAAGTGAATGTTGCAATACGGCGTTTTTGTATCTTGAGACACTTAACCATTCCAGAGAATATTATAAAATATAAAAATTGTAAAATATGTAGAGATACATATTTTAAAAGTTTTTCGTAAAAAAATATGGTTAAGTGGGAAATACCGATGGGTAGTTTAGAGCTTGCAAACGTCATATATTTGGCATTCTTTTTTATCGATGATTCCCATTAAATAATCAACAACTTTAAATTTGTATTATAGGGGCAGCAACTTTTCAAAATACTCTTGGTAATGCGAATATCGTTAGAAATATCATCTGACCTAAAATTACCTAGCAAGCTTCTAGTCCTTGCGGAATTAAAATTATGCGCATATTTATGCAAATTAGGAAAATAATTATTAAAATTTATTCATCGGTGTTAATTTTTTTTCATCTCTATCTACCTCCCGGCCTTTCTCGCACGCACGCTTTCGGTTTATTTCCGTCTTCCTGCGTATACCTTCCAATTATTGAGTTCGGAGTAGTGGAGGCAAAACGGATGCATTAATAGAATTTCGCGGTGTATCGTTATAAATGTCTCAATTAACATCGTTTATGCGAAGTAATTAAGCATACTTTTGAACATCTCTCAGCACAAATCAACTTCGAATACTTTCAAATCGGATGGTAGAGAATATCTGGCCTGTAAATATTCAGCTTTATGTATATTAAAAAAAAAGTTGCAAATAATTCTAGTTACACTGAGTAGCATTGCAGGTAAATCAAATTGATGTTAAGCAAATTACATTCATTTTTTATCGTGTAATATACTTATCGGCCCAGTCGCTAAAATATTAATCTTAAAACATTTATTGCATGCTGCTTATTAATATAAAATACATTAATAATTATTCACGCAATTTATAAATGAATTTTTCTACGCATTACTCTAAAATATCTAATTGACCTAAGACGGCAACTTCATTAAACTCTTAAAACTTCATTAGTCACGTTGAGCGTTTTTCTTACTTTAGGCACGGACTAGATTTAAAACACTGATGATATTTTAACATTCATCATACCGGATGGTTACATGTCACGCATTCGAACTGTTTTGCAAAAATGTGCTAATAAAACTAACGGTCGTAGATAAAGAATAGCATACAATACAATTATAAACTTATTTTGTAATTCATTTGTAAATTAAATTAATAAAGCATCTTTTATAAAACTTGCATAATACGCGTTTATAGAGTGAAGAATAATAATTGTAACACTACAAGAGAGGACTAAAATCTACATCTACGTCTACATTGAAAAAATCGTTTTTCAGAAATTTATTTCCCTGCTTACTAGTTCAAGTGCAACGGAGAAAATATAAATAAAATTATCCAAATTTGGGAAATTTTAGTACTTTTGTTACAAAACTTTCGAAGTGCACAAAATTACCCAGTAGTTGAAATTATTATTACATTTTGATACCCTCAATTAAGTTTTAGAACAGTGCTACTCACTTCAACTATTAGAAAATTTTGAAAAAACCGAGTGACTAGTGGCTATTTAAGAAACTGACATTTACTCTTGGCGCTAGTTTGCTTAATATATTTTTTTTAATCTTCACTACCGCCTGTGTTCCTCAATGCACCTGCTGCAACATCTAGTGTTAAGAATGTGAGGGGTAAAAAAGTCGCATACTTTGAGGTACAAGTAGCAGTTTTCGGTGACCTTTAAAATCTCCCTCCGCTGATGGAATTGAAGAAATCTTGTTTCGTAAAAATGAAGCCACTGTGCCTTCGTTTTGCGGTTTCTTCGAGAACATGGCCATGTGCATGCGCTTTACCACGAGTGGTTAGTTCTCATGGTTAGGCGATTATACTTACTCATCTTTTCTTTTCTATTACGCAGGGGGCGGATTACAAAAGAGGGTCCTATTCAATTGCGATAGTTTCCCTCCGAAAGAGATGTGATGATGCATTAGCGTTGCCTCTTAAAACTGATGAATTGCATCTACTATGGTGGCGTCGTGGACAGAAAATATTTTAAGTGATTTGTGGGAAATGCGTAAATCGGGGTACATAAATTACCATAGCATCAAAACAGCCGAATTCATTAATAAAAAGTAACTACTTACTGGCGTCATACTGAATTGAATCATAACATGGAACTGATGGTGGCCTATATAAAACAAAATTTTAGGAGACAGAATTTTATTTCTTTCGGTAATTCTGATATCATACGGGTTTTTAATGAAACCCTCTTTACTGATATTTTATGATTTTATTGGAACATTCATATGGCAGTCGAGTTTGTGGAAAACAGCGAGAAATCTAAAATTTCAATAGTTATTTTTACAACGGCGTCCGACATTTTTCAATGTTTTCAGTCTCAGCGCGAAATTTGTTCGTGCCCACGTTGTTTACAATATTTTTTCTACAGCTGTATTGAAAAATACGCTTAGAATGAGTTTCTGTTTGTTAAACATACCGACACACATTATTATCCATTAAAATACCGCAAACAATATTTGTTACAATGATAACCATTAAAAATTATCACCATTATTTGACAGCTGCAGAAAAAATATATTTGACCGTATATTACTATTGCATTAATTCCGATTTATTTGGCTTGACAGCCGAAAATTCGTATCCTTTGTGATTGTGCTTAAGGACTATTCATAAATCAGCGATGGGGATGTTCCAATCACCCTGTTTTTCCTCGGGTCGCGAATGTTTGTCACGCTTAAGTGATTTCCATCCAGGGGCGTCGATAAAATGAATATTTCGATAAACTAATAAAAATAAATATCGCTATGCTGATGAATAAAGTAAGTAACAAATTTATTTAAATAAACTACCAGTAACCAACTGCAAATTCCTAATTACCAACATATGTTTCATTCGTTCTTTATGTTTTTCTCGGTATTCTTTGATGACAGTTTACAGATTCTTCTAATAAATTTGATAATGAAACGTATAGAATGGTAGACAATTCCTACAGCTAATACCACTACAGCAATGATATAGCCGATTATATCTAGCATCAGATATTTCCAGACAGGGATATCCACTGCGTAATTTCTTAGATGTTTTGCTCCTTTGTGACGTATCACGTACTCTATCCACCACACTGCTTTTGAGATACCATCAGAATGTTGATCGTTCATCAGCACATCAAGTTTTTTAGCATTCTCGGCGTAACTGAAATAGATTATAAAAATTACATTATTGATTTTGCTTTATTGAGCTGATGTAGAAGCAAATAAGGGATGGATTCGTGTACCTAGATTTGTAGTTTCTTTTACTTTTACCGCAAAGCAAATTTTCACGAAACACATTTTTACTTGAGAGAGAATTAAAAGTGTCTCAAAATTCAATAACAATATCAATATGTGTTTATAATTTTGTTGATTTTTTTTTAAATAGTTGGTTGTCTAATAAAATTTATTTTGTTTTGTCTGTCTCAAAAATATTTTTTTATTATATTCAGCTTAGAACGGCGGAACTATATGTATTCAAATGTTTTCTAAGGCCCACAAAACGTGAAAGATTTCTGTATGTTATTTAGAAATATTTCATAGTGAAATTAGATTTTATTTTTACAATTCCGTTCTCCATATCCTCAACCGTTGTTGAAACGAGCAGAAAACCTAATTCAAATTTTCACCGATTTTGTTTTATTTGTATTTATAATGTATTGCTATTAGCTACCTGGGATCTCCCATTATTTTCTCGATAGTGTATATAAGTTTTGCGGCTGTCAATTCTTCCAGATCCAACATTTTTCCCATTCCATACTTGACGCAAGTGTCCACATTCGTTGTCTGATCTGAATGCGATGGTATTCCGATTATGGCTTTATGAGCTGCTATGACTTCCTCAGTGGACTGAAGACCACCTTGATATATAAAAAGCTTGACATTTGGATGAGCTAAAAATAATTGATTATGTATCCCTCCTTCATTCCAAAAGTATATGAATACAGCAAAGATCGCACCTAGAATGGCAGTTTGCGGCAACCATTTTCGAATATACACGTTCGATGGTTTGTCATGCATAACGTCGTCTTCCCATTTCCAGACGATTTTATAAGGGAGATTTTTGAAGGCATCTTTTATTTCTTGTAAAATTTCAGCCGGTAATAGGTTGCTTTTCCTTGACGTACCCAAACTGAAATAAATCACTCCGTTTTTCGAAGAATCTAAAAAACTCTGCAGTTCCTAGAACGAAATTTTACAGAGCTTTAAATCCGTAATTATGCTCAAAAACAGATTGGAAGTTTTAAACGATCGCCATATAATTATGCTACAACAGAACTATTGTTGAAGCAGTGTTTGAATTTCTTAAAGAGCCCAGAAGAACACTTCAGAAAAAAAAAAACAGGAAAAATAAATTTAGTTTTGGAGTTCCCAAAAATGTGGTTAAAGACGGCTTTTGTCATATACATCTTTAATAACTTCAAAAAAGTTTTGCGATAATCACCCTACATGGCGTATTTTATAACCAACCAAGATTGTCGTTTGGCCTCGTTCCGACTTATCAGCTAAATAGATAAGGAAATGTTGACATGACTTAATTGTGTAATAAAATAAACACTCGCGTCTACCTTATCCAAAGTTTGATTCTGTTTTGGGTACTTTATGCCTCCCATCTCCACAATATTGGGATAAAGAGGCATTGGTCTGTGAAACACTGAATTCCTATTCAATAGCAGCAAGCTGACATTCTTCTCAATATCTCCTAGGTAAGGTAAATCTTGTCCTAAATATTTCTTAACAATCTTGTCGTTCGTAGGTAGTATCCATAAATGATAGTATAATCGCACATAGAGCGAATAAAGACTAGACATTAGCCTTTCCCTCAACGTCATGTCCCTTGTTAAAGGCAAATTCATGTCGGGTGCTATAATGGGATGGGAAGGATTGCCCAGAGCATCTAGGGCAACCACAGGTGCACCTAAGGAACTTATCCCAATCAGTGGACATGTGTAATGCGCTCCTAAACCAGCAAGAGTTGGAAACAACCACTCCACAATCACAACATCAAACTTGAGATTTTGTTGCAATAATCTTTGTGTTTCATTATGGCTTAAAACAATGTCAAAGAGCTTAGTCCAAATCTGAATCATAACGAGGTCTTTGGAAAACGCTTGGAAAAAGCTTGGCTTTTTAGTCATGTATGCCATATCATTCGATGAAACCGTTTTCTTTAGTTCGTATAAACTGCTCAGGTCATATTCGCTGAGGTTAACTAGCGATTTATCTTTGAGTGGGTTTGGAGTTATGACGTGAACTTCGTGACCTTTTAAAGACAGAGCTCGCCACACCTGTTGGAATGGCTTTTGGTGACTGGGTGCAGCCATTCCTGTAGCGAAGAGGATCCTGGCCGTTTGACCATATCCGAAGCAGCAGCAAAACCCGATGAGAGACACGGCACTTAATTTCATTATCATGGATTTGTGACTAAGGCGGATTTTTGTATGGCGGATTCATCATACGAAATTCGAGTGGTTTGGCAGAGGGAATTTTATTGATTATTTTTGAGTACGAGATAAGATTAATCTCTCAGAAAAAACTTTTTTATGGATGGTGGTCGATGTGTTATAATAATGTGTTAATTTTGTAGAAACATTTTAACACGTTTAAAATTCGTTATAACTCTACAAAATTACAAAACGCTTAAACTTACAAAATTAATTTTATTGGTTTTTCTTTTTCGCATTTCTGCAGCGACGCCTCCTAAATATTACTACAAAACTTTTGTATATGATATAAGTAATAAAATAAACAATAGCAAAAACAAACGCGATGACGTCTAACATAAGATACTCCCACCACGGCATGTCTACCGCAGGGCTCCTCAAATGCTTAGCACCCTTGTGCCGTATCACGTACTCTATCCACCATATCGCTTTCTGTAAACCTTCCATTGGTTGATCATTAATTAGGAGATCCATTTTCTTAACATTTTCGGTATAGCTGCAAAATAATGCACAACCAGTTTGGAATATATAGATATAGATATTAAAGATCAAAGAACATTTGGAAAAATCCTCTCCCCTTTTCTCACCTTGGATCATTAATAACCTCTACGATAAACTCCTTGAGTCTTTCAGTTGTTAAGTCTTTGAGATCCAGCATCTTTCCCATTCCATACCTGACGCACGTGTCCACGTTGCTGGTTTGGTCAGAATGAAATGGGATTCCAATTATGGGTTTGTGAGCTGCGATAGTTTCTTCTGTCGACTGAAGACCGCCTTGAGTAATAAACAATTTTACATTTGGATGTTCTGAAACAATATAAAACAATAACAATATATAATTTTGCTGCTGTCGAAAAATACCTCGATTATTAAGTAATATTATTATTATTATTATTGTTATTATTATTATGTCAATATTACAATTACCGTTTTAATAATTAAAATTTAATTTGCCAATCAATTAGGAATAAGCATATCAGCCTAAACTGGGAGTGTTTTCTAGAATACAATTTTTGACACTCCAGAAAATATCTCAAGTTTTTTTTTAATTTTCCTTGCACATGTAGGGAAGCTGATTATAAAATTTTGACCCTAAGTAAATTATTGTTTGCTCTATTACTTTTCGGGACGATAACATTTCTATAAATATTAGCTCTAGTTTCATCACCATGGTTGATTAGTGTCGCTGCTTAGAGGTTGACGATGAACACTGTACCCACATTAGAATGTCGTAACATAGAAGCTGTGGAACTAATGCGTTATCAGCAAGTGTAACAGTTTTCCAAGAAAGAGAGTCTAGGAACATATAAAATTTATGCAATAAGGATCTAATTTTTTTTAAGTACGACATGATTATTCCATTTAAGGTTTACCATTAGTTTTCTTAATTGGTTCTACTAAAATATCATATATATTTCCGAAAAGTTAGGACGATTTTTTCCTGTTATAGAAAAGGCTGTTTATTATATTAAGGGCTAGTTTAAAAGTGTCCAAAAACATTTTTAGTATTTTTAATCCCTTTTCCATTTTCACCTTCACACGTTTCCAAGAAGAATCGTCAAAAACAATCAATTTGTCGTCCGCATTGGGAACAACCCTTCCTCCCACGTCTAACTTTTCTAAAAAATTTACATATACATTAAATAATCAAGGCCTTAGCCCAGTTTTTTGCGGTATACCCATCTTGTCAAAGATTTGGTCACTCAAAAGATTTCCTTTTGTTGTAAATTGAAACCTATCGGTTAGAAAATTTCTAAACAAATCGCCAGCAATGCTACTGATTCCACACTTTTTAAGAATATCAACTAATTGTGCAAGATGGTTAATAATTTTGTTAGTGAGCTTCACAATTGCATCATTAGGACTCATCCCTTAGTGAAACCAAACTGATGACTGATGGATCATCAGTTCTGAGAAAATCAAAGAGACACTCATGAGGACATTTTTCAAATATTTTGCTTAAATTTGATATTACACCAATTGCACTTTAATTTCCGGAATACAATCTTCATCCTGCTTTATATATGAGTGATACTATAAACGTTTTAAACTGATAAGGTAAATTACCAGACTCAAATATAAGATATATAGGATCAACAATACGTAAGTGCAAAAATTTTTGAAGAAATTTCATCGTTTCCTAGAGCACAATTGCTTTTTAAATTATCTATGTATTCCATTATGTCATTTACCCTGACCGGAGTTAAAAACATTGATCGTACACTTTTTTGTATTATTAGTACAAGAGATCGGCAACTCTATTTTAGCAGCCATTTTATATCCTATGTTGATAAAAATAATTCAAGATATTAGTGCTTCTTTTTTACCAGTCATCTTTTTTACCATTCATCATTAAGTCGGCTTTTATTTGAATTTGTAGCTTCAATAGTTAGTTCATAAACTTTCCTAATATTTTTATTTTCATGTACTTTTTGCAGACAAAAATAATATTTAACATTCACTATAACATTATTTAGCCAATTTCGATAAGTTTTATATTCAGTAAGTAATGCAGGGGTGGGGTTTTTATTAGTTTTTTTTTCATTTTATCTCTAGTTTTTATAGAAGTAACTATTCCATTTGTAATCCATGGTTTTATCCTAAGGTAGTTCATGTTAGAAGCTACTATCTCCTGTGATTTACTTACAATCTTAGTTAACATATTAACGAGAAGATCATCTGCCATTTCAGGGTCATGGATATCTAAAATATTATTGTAGTTCAAATCATCCGTTAACCTACCAAGTTTGTCATCGCTAACTCTTTTTTGGTCCAACAGTTTTGTGAGCTGCAAAAAATACTTTCATCTGCACCATCTGTCTTACAAGAAATTTATAAGGATTGGTTGATTCATGATCAACAATTGCAGCTTGCACCTTAAATGGGACATTAACTTTGGTTTTTAAGAATACATGATCTAAACATGTTACCAACTAACCAAAACTAACTGCGGTCTAGTGACGTCCTGATACAGAGAAGGAAAACCACGTGTTACTATCATATAATAATATTCACAGACAGTACCACCCGTATTACTCAATAAATCTGGATTAATAACTCCAAAAAAAAATTCCATGTCTCCAGCTGGTTTATTAGTAAAACATAAGTCCAAATTAATTAGAAAGTTCATACATAGAATTGGAGTTTGGAGATCGATAACATATGTGTAGGCTTAAGTCACCAAGTCTGAAGAAAAAACAAAAACATCCATTCTTTAACTTCTTATTTAGGATTTCGTAATTAACTTAGTCTCTATCGTAACATTTTGATCAGCGATATTAATGATAACAAAAAATTTCAATTTTCATAAGGGGCAAGAAATATTCTAATACAATAAACAACAATATTTAAAAATAAGCAAATCAAGACATGCTTTATCTAATTTCGGCTGTGTATTATTATTTACATAATAAATGACTTTTTGTTTTTACATTGCGATCCGTCGGATCTATCAAATTACCTAAAATAGATTCTTGAGGGAACCACTGACGTATCGCAACGTTCGTTGGTTTATTTTCCATTGATTCCGCTTCCCATTTCCATAAAAAATCGTATGGCAAACTGACCAACGCGTTCTGTATAATCCTTATAATTTTTGGGTCTAACATAATCCCCTTCATCGCTGATCCTAGACTGAAGTAAATTACCCCATTTTTTGATTCATCTAGATAGTGTTTCAAGCTCTAAAATGCCAAAGTGGCCATTTTTTCTTTCTGCAATTTTATAACTTACTGGTTCAAGGTCAAGGTGGACTTTTTCCGGCCTAAGTACTCCGTAATTGATAACGGCAGGCACATTAGGCGTCAGTCTATGAAATATGTTATTTCTATTGACGAGCAACACGGCAATGTTTTTTTCCAATTCTCCCAGGTACGGCACTTGATCACCGAAGTGGTCTTTTAGATAACTGTCCTCACGTGGCAAAACTACGAAGTGATGGTACAGTCGTCCATAGATGGCCCATATTCCACTCCACAAGCGATCGAAGAACGTCAAATCAGTTTGGAGGGGCAGATCTTGATCTGGAGCCAACAACGGATGGGATGGATTACCTACCGTGTCGAATCCTGGCACCCTAACGCCATCCGAACTAATTCCGATTACTGTACAATTTAAATGGTGCCCAATAAAACTCAAAGTTGGACAAAACCATTCTATAATACAAACATCGAATTTTGTATCAGGTGTCAATCTTTTAAATTCCTTGTGGGTGAAGACGTGTCGGGATAGAAACGTGCATATCTCGTCGAATATGCGTTCCCTCCTAAACATGCTTATAAACGTGGGTTTTTCCAAAAATTTTTGAAATTTATCGCACGATGTAATCGTAGGGCAAGCCGGGTAAATATCGCTCAAATCGTACTGAGTCAGAGTACCGAAAGGGTTTTCTTTCAGTGGATTCGGCGACAACACGTGCGTGTCATGGCCTCTGCGGGCAAGTTCCTTCCATACCTGTTGATACACTTTCTGGTGACTCTGCACGGGAGCATTTGCCACGAACAGGATTCTAGCACAACGCACATCACTTAGCAGCATGCCAAACAACACAACCACTGTGGAGAGCCGCATCTTTGTCACCACACTACAGACTGATTTAATATTGTATAGCCGTCATATTTAATCTGATTTCGCAGTATTTCCCCATGTTTTTCTTTACATAAATTTCAATAGATTAAAAATATTAACTTAGCGAATCCCGTTTAATATATGTTGACTTATGGTTAGTTTGTTAAACTGGTTCTTACTTAAATCGTTGTAACAGAAAAGAATTTCTATAACCTGTGTTGATATTTTCTCAATTATTGATTTTGCTTTACTTAAAATTAACATGTGGTTTACCTAAGACAGCTTCCTGAGGTAACCATGGACTTATAAAAACGTTGTCGGGTTTGTTATCCATAACAGGCGTTTCCCATTTCCACAGAAAATGGTATGGTAAATCCGCAAAAGCCTTTTGAATCACTTTGACTGTTTCGTGGTGCAACATGGTCCCCTGCACGGACGACCCTAAGCTGAAGTATACCACTCCGCTCATGGAATTATTCAAAAAATTTTGTAGTTTCTAAAAGATCACGATTTTGTTGGCTTTCTTGCTATCCTCACTTAAATTAGTAAAAAAACATTTAATTTTCCATTACGGATCAAACAGTATATTGTTAGGTTTGTTGGATTCTTACCGGATCAACAATCGCCGCACCTTTTTCTGGTTTGATAAATCCATATTCTACAACAGCAGGCAGGTTAGATGATAATCTGTGCAATATAGGATTCCTATTGACCAGCAGTAAGCTAATGTTTTTCTCTAAGTCACCTAAATAGGGTAAATCTTGTCCCAGGTATTTTCTCATGATCTTATCTTGTGCTGGTAGTGTCACAAACGCATGATAGAAACGAACGTATATGGTCCACAATCCAGAATATAGGCGCTCAAAGAACGACATTGATCTTGGCAGAGGAAGATCTTGATCCGGGGCCAGCACTGGGTGAGAAGGGTTGCCAACCGCATCAAATCCAGGCAATCTAACTCCATCCGAACTAATGCCAACTAATGGACACTTAAAAAGATGTGCCATCACACTGTTAGTTAAAACAAACCACTCTATAATGCACAAATCAAATTCTTTATTATTGGCCAGCATCCTTTCGAATTCCTTATGAGAGAAAATATGTTTCGCAATTGCCGACCACATATTTTGGAATATCGTCTCTCTCTGAAACATGCTGATAAACGTCGGCTTTTCCAAAAATTTTTGTAAATCCTCGCAGGTCACCAAGTTTGGACATGGGTTATACATATCGCTGACGTCATATTCCACAACATTGAGTAGAGATCTGTTTTTTAACGGATTGGGCGTAATTACATGAATATCGTGTCCTCGGTAAGACAATTCTTTCCACACTTTTTGGTACACTTTTTGATGGCTGATGGCCGGAACCGGAGCTAAAAATAAAATTTTAGCACTATACACATTATATGCAAATGCGACGACAATATTCATAAGTATAATATATTTCATTGCTAAATTAATGTTTCGTCTAATATCCGCGGCTTGATAGTGAAGACTGTTGTCGCTTACCCGGGTCATTTTATTTAATGTTAGCTTATACACAGAGTATCAAACACGTGGGTGTATTAAGATATCGTACACTAAACGATGTTCAAACAGAGTCCGACAAGTATAAAATAAAACCATATCGTATCTAACGTGCCACAGTTTAAAAAATTGTTGCCAGTGACCTAAGTTTAATGCATATTATCAAGTTGACGGAAACCATTTCCATTGATTCGCGATATTAACATGACAAATAATTCTCTCGCCTATTTAAATACTACAAGTTAACTACTTTGTCAGTTCTATATTTAAAAATTAACAATACTTCCAGGTTGCTTACAAAAAACCGACCTACTGTAATGGCATTTTCTACATTTCCTGGGGGCTAATACTGAAGGATGTAAATTATTAGTATAAAAAAAAATCCTACAAAAATCACATATAAAAATTAAAAAAACACGACAGTTAGTTAAATTACTCTGCAATTTTAATTTTTTAAATGTTTTTAATGCACAGATTTTCATTTCTTTGAAAGAAGAAATGTAAGAATCATCAATAAATTGTATGAAATGAATATTCGCTTTGGTTGGTCAGTGAATGTATTTGTGTTGCTTTGCCAAAATGTGTTGAAGTTATAGCGTTTTAGTAATTTTAGCATGGTGAATCTGATCCCGAGAATCTGAGGGTTGTTCGACGAATCAACTTTCGACATAGGTTTTTATCAATGTTTCGGCAGGTATTGTAGACAATACGTTACGCTTACTTAAACTTCCTTGCAAGTGCTCTACCCGGCAGGGTGTAAGAATTTGGTAAGATGAACATTTTACAAAGAAGCCTCTAGGCCCCTGTAAATTAGCCAGCTTGATCTCCTGGCTTAAGCTCACGAGATTTTATCTGTATAATTCTATTTTGCCACAGAAGCAGACAGTCTAAAAGAATTAACAAGGCACATTAATGTTGCAGGCAATCAAATTAGGAACAATCCCTTTTAGAATCAGATTCACCATGCCCAAATTACTAAAATGCTAAAATTTTAAAACTTCTATTCTTTTTCTTTTCTGGACATGTTTCGGAAATATTAATAAAAAACCATTTTCTGGTCAATTTCTGTTAGGGGGTGCTTCTCGAGATATGTTTATATAAAAAAGTAGTGCTTATTTTGGACGTAAAATATGCTAGTATAATTTGGCCCCTTATTTCGGGACATCTTGTATATAGACTTTGCCTATGCTGACTCGTAAAACGGGATTTTCAATAAACGCAAGCAAGTTATTTAAAAACTCGCTTTCAACCAATGACGCGTTCAACAACCAATATGGCACCTAACAGTTCGTCAACCCGACTGTTTTCAGAAATAAAAAGTGTTAAGTGAGTGAAAATTGCTGCTTAAGAATAAAATAGTCCAAAGTACAGATTAGCGTATAAGCGTATAGCTAAAAATAAAAAAAAGTTTATGGTTTATCAATAGGCTGCTGTAACAAATTATGAAATGAAATTTAAGCTAACTCATACAGGGTGCTTATAAAATTATGCTACATTCTTCTGTCAACCTGTTGGCTTCTTCAGAGTTTAACTGAAACTGATTTGCATTCTACTATGTACCTACTTATCTACTATTTGAAGGGGCGGAGCTAAAAAGGGGCATGACATTGTCGATAGAAGTCATAGAAATCTCTAAACAACCAAACAATCTTAACCGCGACTCAGGTCTTTACCTTTCGCCAATATGGGCATCAGTCAGAGTGTTGATAAATTTGAAAGATTGACGTCTGAAAACTTACTTCTTTTTCATAAAATCTGCACATACAGGGTGGAGCATGAGGACAAATTCTTTACAGTTGATGGATAGAATAGATAATATTTCTTTACATTTTTTAATTAAATTTGAAACACATCTTTTGAGCAACAAAATCCGGCGGCAAGTTAATATCTCTGTTTTGTAAGCAAAGTTTTGATTTTTCGTGTATTTATTAAGTCAGTTGTTTAAAAATATCCTTTCCGACATTTTAAATTTCATAATTAAACTTTTTGTTCTGCCTCTCTTTTTGATAATATGGAATTTAGAACAGCCCGTATCTCGGAAACGAAACATTTTAGGAGGCATGCTTATATGGACCGTTTTTCATAAAAAAATGATTTCCTATCAACTGTACCTGTACCAAAAACCTGGTCCACCTTGCATAAATTTCCCTTGATAGCTATGACGTATTTCGCTTCACGCGTATTCGTTTTTAAATATTTTATTTGGCAAATATCATTTAAAAGTCAGACTCACGAGAAAAGTCAACATTTAACTAAAACTGTGGCCGATTGTAAATTATTCACAAATTTAAAATGGCCGTAAATATTTACCGAGTAAACCGGGTAGTAAATAAAGCAAGGGATTTAAAAAAATACGTTTGTTCTAAATTAACGCCACTCGTTTTGAGAATAGCAATTTTACAAGATTTATTTTGTCCTAGTTAAGAAAATCTGCTTTCGCTCTTAAACGATATCTAAATCCTTGGGGATAACTCTACCGTGCGATCCGTCAACGTATTCAACTCGGGAAGATTTATTTCTGAATGGTACGGCTGACGCACAATAGATGAAAATAATTCGATTTTGCGAAACTTGATGTTTGGAAACGGCATTTTTACGAAGTCCCATGAATTTCGATTCGCTACTTATTCTATAGGCATTATTCGCAAAGTACTCCCATTCAGCGAAGAAATCGAAAAGGAAATACTACTTCGATTCGATTTTATTCAGTATTTGAGTAACCATTTATTGATTGCCTTTGATACTGTTCTTTCCTCAAATATGCACCGAAAACATGTCCTACATGCAAACTCAGGTGACCATTATGACATTTTTGACCATGGAAAAATAATTGAAGGTCGCGTTTCCTTTTAATATATATTTATTTACGCTCTTATCGGTTTCCACTTCTTTTTTAAGCGTTAAAATTGTTAAAAAAAACACACTCAGTATTCCTCCGCTGGTGTGTACCGGGAAGCCAATTAAGGACGTTAGGGGTAAACAATTATATTTTATAAATATAATAATATATAAATATATAAATTATTTTTAAGTCTCTATAACGGCCGCCAGGAGCGTACTTAATTTTAAATCCATTTTTTTATATTACAGATGGACACAGTTGTAAATTTGGGATAAATTCGATTTATTTTCGTTCAATTGTTTTCGCTCTACCTCTTAAGGGGAAATGTAAGGGGATGTTCGACCATTTTGGGAAATAAATGTCAATAACTTCAGAATGGCTAAACGCGTTTTGTCGAACTTGAACTTGTTGAAAAGGGTTCCTTTTAGGTTATCAACGAGGCCCTGAGAAGATTGATTTAGATTGCATGTATCGCCGATATAGGGCGTTTTGCGACATCACTATATATGAAATTAATTTTCTCAAAAAATGGAAAACAAAAATATAACTTTCATTGCAACGCAATAGTGAAAACCTCATTTCGATATCTTTTTCCTAACGTATAATATCAGCCAAAAAATAAAAACTTGACACAATATTTATATTAATAATATTTATAATTGATATTAGTTCTTTTATCAAAACACACAGGAAATTCAAAATTGTAAAACAAAACTAACTAAAAACTGTGTGTTTTTAATTGTCAATCATGTTAATCAAATTGCAGCTATTTATAGTGTAATACTTTTTGCAAAACTTCTGGATTCCTCCTGCGTCGGTTTTTGCTGAGTCGAACTTGCTGACGTTTCGCCAATCATCCTGTTGGCTTCTTCAGAGATTGATTGAAACTGGCTCGCATTTTACGTTGTATCTGCTTATATATTGTTTGAGGGGGGAGGAGCTAAATGAGTCGCGGTTAAGATTGTTAACTTGTTTATAGATTTCTATAGACTTTAGGATGTTTCGCTGGCAGAAGAATTGATTACATGCAAGAATTTTTGTTTTATCGAATAAAATTTTATATCCGGTTTCGTGACTGTGTTCGGCAACAGCTGATGAGTTTATTTGTCTTAGTCTTAAAGCTATTTCATGTTCTTTGAGCCTAGTTGATATTTTTCGTCCGGTCTCTCCAATTTATTCTTTGCCGCATATGCATGGAATGCTGTAAACTCCTGACATCCCAAATGGAATGTTGTCTTTGACAGACCGGTGATATTGAGGGATTTTTTGACAAGTGTTAAATCAGGTTTTGATGTTATATTTCTTTAGAACTTTTGATATGTGGTCACTGATGTTCTGAATGTAAGGAAAGGCAACAGTGGGAAGTGTACGATTGCTTTCGGCCTAATTGTTATTGAAAGGTTGTGGTGAAGTATATTTTCTGATCGAACGGTTAATATCTCATAGATAGAAGAGCAGAGGTAAGGTGTTTTAATTCTGGGTTCAGTGACTCGGGCTCGGGACCCAATGTTAGGTCTGATTTTTTATTGATAAAAGTACCTAAGAATGGAAGCTTATTTTTTATTTTTATTTATCTGTCACCAATATGGGAATCAGTCATCCGAGACGGTGTTTATGTCTCTCATGAAGCTCTGAAGAAGTCAACAGGATGATTGGCGAAACGTCAGCAAGTTGGACTTAGCAAAAACCGACGCAGAATGAATCCAGAAGTTTTGTAAAAAGTATTACAGTAGCCTGTGGAAGTTTCTTTGAAAAAAAAAAGTATAGTGTATTTTGTAAAATGTAAAAATGTAAAAATGTAAAATTCATTAATATCATTCTAGAAATTAAGAAAAAAAAACAGGATTTTCTCTTGGCCACTTTAGTTATAATCCTTTTCACACAAATTCCTTACTACAATTGCCTTTCGAGTCGAATGTCCATCTTAATTTGCTACCTGGAACATCCATATGTAATTAAATGTTACATTTATTAATTAATTATTCGATTACTTTGTTAACCATACAAGGATTTTATAATATTTTCCTTGATAACAACAATTAAAGAGTTATGGTTATCTAATTCTACATGTTAGCCAATAAGTTTTTTCTTTAACTTTCTGACCGCTCCAG